TGCATATGGGATATATTGAGCATGGTGATCAGATCATGATATGAATAAACATAACAGTTTAAATAATGTACCAGTAAGGCCTTTTCGCAGACCACCATGAGAATTTACCGGCTACATGCCTGAAGCCCCTCAGCCCCCCCCCCCCCCCCCCCCCCCGGCTACATGCCTGGCTGTGTTCTAGCAGCATCTTCTGAAGATGCCAACCACAGATGCAAGCAAAACATCAGGAGCAAATGCTGCTAGAACATGACTATATAGCCCGGAAACCATACAACAATGTAGAAGTCTGATTGAGTTCATGTTCATGTAATAGTCCCGGAAATGCAAATTATTTAAATTAGATTATGTTGCAAACAATACAAATTTCTGCTCCTATACATATAAAATACCTAGCTCCTCTTACTGTGTCTGAATAGGAAAAAGTGTCATAGCTCTCACTCATTGCTATCCTGTCTAATTTAAAATTACGTAATTCTCATTCCTTTTGTATGCAGGGTAGCAATAAGGGCCTCCAGATGGTGCTACATTTCCCATCAGCCTTAGCCACTGATGAAAGATGCTAATTTTTTTTGTGGGGAGGATTCAAACATTACTCATAACATGTCCTATATACTAATGTTTACTAATTTATCATATCAGTTTATTTAAATTGTAACATTTAGATTGATCATGCTGATTCTCAAAAGTGATAGATGATCAAGCATGATGGTTTGGTTTGTACTACATTCTGTAAATTTATTTAGAAGCTTCTTCAGATTAATGTCAGAAACAACTCATGATATAGCTAAAGTGCAAGGAGACTGAGGCTTGTAAAGACCCCCTAGTGCAAAAAAAAAAAAGTACAAGTGCTAATGGCTGTTGATAATGGTGAAATGACCCAATAGAGTTCATTAATATTTTAGAGGTTGCAAAATAGGAACATAGATGCAACTACTAAACATTATGAATACACTACTGCTTTTACAATATTTTTTAATAAAGAAAAATCTACCAAAGCAATTTTTATCACATTGCAAATTCAACAATTCCATCAGATGCATTAAGGGCACTTCTGTTGTCTTGGACCATTTTCTGGAAATTCCCAGCACCTGCTGCAACATTTCATTCTGAAATATCTTGGAACAATATGTCCCCTTCTCTGCTTTTCCAATCTTTCTTTTTAAGTTCTTAACTAGTTGTATGACTATATTTCATCAATGCAAGGGCATTATTATTATTATTATTATTATTATTATTATTATTATTATTATATTATTGAATTAATTGAATTAATTGATTTTAACTGAAGTCAGTAAAAGGAAACTTCTCAAAGCACAGCAGACAAAAAATCAGTACCAGAAAACTGCACTACAAACCAGAGCTGACAGCTGGCACAACAAAGCATTGCATGGGCAGTTCCTTGACAAAATTGAAGGAAAAGTTGAAAAGGAGAAGACCTGGTTATGGCTCACGAATGGAACACTGAAGAAGGAGACAGAAGGCCTGATTCTTGCAGCTCAGGAGCAAGCCATCAGAACAAATGCAATTAAGGCCAGGATCGAAAAATCAGCAAATGACCCAAAATGCAGACTGTGCAAGGAAGCTGATGAAACCATGGACCATATCCTCAGCTGTTGCAAGAAAATCRCACAGATGGACTACAAACAGAGGCACAACTCTGTGGCCCAAATGATTCATTGGAACTTATGTCACAAGAACCACCTACCAGCAGTAAAGAATTGGTGGGATCATAAACCTGCAAAAGTAGTGGAAAATGAACACGCAAAAATACTGTGGGACTTCCAAATCCAGACTGACAAAGTTTTGGAACACAATATGCCAGATATCACAATTGTGGAAAAGAAAAAAGTTTGGATTATTGATGTCGTCATACTATGTGACAGTCACATTAAGGTAAAACAACAGGAAAAACTCAGCCGTTATCTGGACCTCAAAATCGAACTGCAAAGGCTCTGGTGTAAACGAGTACAGGTGGTCCCAGTGGTCATCGGCACACTGGGTGCCATGCCAAAAGATCTCAGCCAGCATTTGGAAACAATAAAAATTGACAAAATCACAATCTGTCAACTGCAAAAGGCCACCTTACTTGGATCTGAATGTATCATTCGAAAATATATCACACAGACCTAGACGCTTGGGAACTGTTCGACTTGTGATTTTGTGATACAAAATCCAGCATATATATTTCGTTTGATGTGACATACTGTGCATTTGTGTCAGTAAAATAATAACAACAGCTTTATTTTTATACCTCTCCTCCATCTTGCCGAAGGGATTCAAGGCGGCTTACATGGGGCCAAGCCCACCAGAACAGTTAAAACATAATATATTAAAATGCATATCAAGAAAATTATAACAAAGCAATATAATGAAATAAACAACATTACACAGTATATAAAACAAACAAAAGAACCAAACAACCAAAAGCAAAGTTCAATGTCTTGTCATGGGTGAACAGACTGGTGCCACAACATTAAAGGATAGAGCTAATGGGTAAAATGCAAATATAATATTTTTGCACTTTCACTCTGTAACTCTATTTTTTAAAAACCAGACACACATAAATATCTATGAAATGCATTAGCCTCACTCTGCCATTATATTTTTTATGCCAGTAAGCTCTAAATTACATTGCTTGATAAATCCCCCAATGGTGCAAAAGGAGTTTCTCATTTCATTTAGATTCACCTATTGGAAACTGTTGAATGCTGAGTTTAACAGCTTCCTCTTTTCTCCCTGAACTTAGTTTACTGCTTCAGTCAGGAAATGAGCAGGTCAAGTCTTCCAAAGGATGTAAAATCCTGTTATTCCACAAAGTTACAGAACTAATTTGTTTGACAATTTTATAGGTATTTCCTCTATCCTACATCTTCACAAACTCCAGGCAAAGTTTGAAGGTTTGTTCAGCTGAACTAAGCAAAGGGTAAGAAGAGAGGGTATAATATAGTAAATAAATAAGTAAGAATTTCCTCTCTGGATTGCTGTGAGCTTTCTGGGCTGTGTGACCATGTTCCAGAAACATATTCTCCTGATGTTTTGCTCACATCTATGGCAGGCATCCTCAGAGTTTGTGAGGTCTGATTCTGTGTGGATACTGTGTGGATGGTGAGGAAGAACCGATGCACATGGCCGAAAACCCCTACTCATATTGTGCCCTTGCATGTTTTTCTTAATGGCCTCTGTCTATCTGGCCACACGCAAGCTGCATAAATGTTTTTACTTGAAGCCATCCGGAGTCCCCTTGGGGAGATAGGGCAGATCAAAAACAAAGTTTTATTATTATTGGTTTATTATATGGTTTTCTTCTATAAGAAATACTTATGGGTGCCTTTGTCTGAAATGTAGCCCAGAACACCTGGTATTCATTGGCAGTCTCCTACACAGGCAGTAACCAGGGCTGACTCTGCTGAGCTGCCAAGGTATCTAGTCCTACCTAGCTGGTCCAACCTCTCACTTTAATCTCTGCTCAAATAAATGGCCTTGATGGGCTTAATAGGGCTTGTCTGATTACCTCAATGGTCCTCTGTTAGCATAGAATTTTCTATGACAATCCATTCTTGCCTTGCTCAATTGCCTGTTTTCTTAAACAATTTTGATTGGTATATTTGTGTGTGTATATATATATATATATATATATATATATATATATACACACACACACACACACACACATACACCATACCAATACTGGCAGCAGAATAACTGATGAAGATGACCACTATGCTGGAGCCCCTGGTGGCTCAATGTGTTAAACCCTTGTGCCAGCAAGAGTGCTGACACGGTTCCACGGTTTGCATCTGGAGAGAAGGGTGAGCTCTCATCTGTCAGCTCCAGCTTCTCATGCAGGGACATGAGAGAAGCCTCCAACAGGATGGTAAAACATCCGGGTAATCCCTGGTCAATGTGCTTGTAGATGGCCAATTCTTTCACACCAGAAGTGACGTGCAGCTTCTCAAGTCGTTCCTGACATGACAAAAAAACCCTCTATGCTAGTTTGCAGGAGCAAAGCTCACTGATGATGTTATATCTATAAGTCACTTTTTAAAGATTGACAAAGCTTTAGCACATAAAATAGGGATCAGCATTCATAATACATAAATGTTGATGATTTCTTAAAACTGCAACGTACATGTACATTGCAAGTATAAATTATTGTCTGCAAACTACTTGCTTCTATCCATTTCAATAGGAACGTTGAGACCTGAGAAATGGGAGTACTACGTGGCTGTTTGCACACTATTTTTCTTCTTCTCCCAAGTGACATAAATGCAAGTACAAAGACAAAAAAAGAAAAAAACTAAACTCTTTTCATACTGTGATATATAGCACATTTTTACTTAGTATGTGGTTTCCTAGCTGTGAGGTTTGCAGAAGGTTCTTCTGACACATAGCTCAGGAAATCAAACTCAGGAAATCCACATTTTTTTAAAAAAAGAGATAAAATGGGGTTAAACTCTGCTGACAGCAGTCGGAGAGTTTCATTTTTCACAGCCTGCTTGTCTTTTTATTTTTTTCTCCCAAGTTCCCAGCAAAAACAATACAAATATTCAGCTTTCTGAAACTACATCAGAGTGAAGCTTTGCTTGGGAGAATTCTCTCTGCTTCTAATAAAGTCTCAGTGTGCTGCCATCTGGCATATTGGTAGATAGATTTCACCATTATCCCAAGAAATACAATCTCTTTAGACCAGGCTGGTACTTTCAGGAAACAAACAAGAGTTTCAAAGATCTAACATGCTCCATAACACCCATTATGTTGGCGGTCCGCTCATGACATTTACTTTTTTGACATGTTATCCCTTAGCTATTTCAACAATGGGCAAGGAAGAAAGAAAAATATGATGAGCTGCATTTGTTATTTTATTGCACAGTTCACTGAACTTGTGACTTTTAAATTAATGCATTTCCCCTTGTTCAGGGTTTTGTCAACACTTCAGCTCAAGTGTCTAATTATACATATCATGCAACAACTTTAAAATACCAAGGTACTGAAACACTCACCGTAAACCATAGCGCCTCCAGTTTCATGCAAAAAGCGAAATCGGTGGGTTTTAAACAGCCAAATGGTGAGTATTGTAAGGATGAGCAAAAAGTTGAAAACCAACAACTCCACCGCACCCTGATGATAAAACTGGTCCTCATTTTTCACTGACTTCAGGTTCCTTGACTTCTCCATTTCATCTCTGTTTATTTGCACTGCTTTATGGACACTTTGCAGAGTTAGTTGAAAAATGCCAGGCTAAGAAAACTCCACAGGTTAAAGCCCAAATGACTGCTTTGGTAAAAGAAAGTCTAGACAGCATTTAAATTCACAACAAACACATCTGCTGTATTTGCAGCCTCTCGGCACACTGCCACAGCTCAGAATTCAGCTGGATTCTGGTTACAACTTCCTGTTTGCCTCTTAAAGCTGTCCTGTCTCATTTTATCTTGGAGTTGCATCACTGTAGAATGTCTTTTATTTTGATGGGAGTGGAGGATGGATGACATGAATGCTCTTCTGTATTGCAAAAAGTATTACTATTTTCTTTGACGTCTTATGGTGTATTTTTCAGTTTTAGAAAACACACTTGCCACGCTAAGTTTTAAGGATGTGATAATAATGAAAGCAGTTTGGAAGAACAGAATCTCAATATCAAAGTGATAGTAAAATAAGAAACAAAGAAAGATCAGTCCTGGTATTTCAGTTTTCAATTGAGGTCTGCAGATAAATAACTAAAGGTGGAATGATCACAATGAAATGTTTGCCTGGAGGAGCATGTTAAGCTCTTGGGAAACTCATGAAGCTCTCAAGGAATTCAAACTCTCAGTTAAACTCAAGGAAAGTTCCCTTGAGAGGAAAAAAAGAGCTGTCTGCTTCTATTAGTTTTCGTCTACAATGTTCTTTATCTTTGATGGCCATATGCCTTCTTACACAAGGGACAACCCTCTATTTGAACAACACTGCTGTCTGATGGTTTCTCCAGGCCACATCTGGTTCCAAGATAAGGAATCCTAAGCATATTTTCCTGCCTTTCTCCCATTATTACCTAAGAAGACTAATATATATATTGATAAGTATAGCTAATTAAAAAATGAAATAGAACATTCTATTAAAAAGTTACATAAAAAGTTCTAAGGCATATTAAACATGATAAAAAAATATAACAAACTCTGACAAATGATCCTTCTGCCACAGTAGGGTTAAGTTCCAAATTAAAAGGCCTAAATGAAAAATTATTTGCCTGCTCATAAACCAGAGGGATACCAAATAAGTTTATCATGGGAGGAAATTCCACAACTTGGGAGCAGCCACCAAGAACGCTTTCTCCTGTGTCTTCACCAAACACACTAGTGGTTGTAGTAGGACAGAAAGCAAGTTGAAGAAGGAGAAGCTAGGATCTTCAAGTTGCCCATAAATAAGTAAAACCTAGAAGACAGACCGAAAAGAACCATATTCCAATATCATAATGATTTTGAATTTTTTAAATTAGCATATGTAAATGTGATGTACACTCATGTCCTCCTTGGTCTTCTTCTTTGATGCTGCATTTCCTACCCTGCTTTTTTTGATTGGCAGAGCATCTAACTGGCCACATCTTTCTGGAATATCTTTGCTGAGATCTTAATGTTTCTTTGATTTAAATCTTGGGGGAGGGAATATTTAGTAATGCATAACTTCAGCAGACTTTCATTCTTTTTAGTCTTATGTGGATTTGATATCCTTTCTTCTACCCTGCAAAATGTCCCATGTCATTTTCCCAATGTGTAGCATGCTCCTCAGCCCAAGATGAGGCCAAAATCTTAACAGCTGGTAAACTGGCTGGGATTTCTTGGAGTTGTAGGCCAAAAACACCTGGGGACCCACAGGTTGTGAACCACTGACCTAGTCCCCAACTTGGCTCCTTAACACCAGAATTTTTCAGCTGCCACATAGTTATCCATATTAGCAAGGCTGGCTTACTGGTTTTAAAAAACACACAATTACTGCAAGTCATGTTCATGGTGTCAATTATATCAGCAGAAAAGTAACATTTTTTTTAAAAAAAATGCAAATTAATGTATGAATTTTATACAAAATGAATCCCCACTAACAGCATTTTCCGCAAATTGATTAATAAGTCTGTGTTGAAAACAACCAAATACAAATTTTGCACAAAATCAGTCTTCAACTGTGAAGATTCTCATCAGCCATGGAGAATGTAACAATGTTTATCATGAGTGGGTCATTGTTGGGGTTTTGCCCATGAATTTCCCACATTAGCTGCACCCATAACCAAGAAACAAACTCCCAAGAGGATGGAAGTCTTTGAAGTTTTAAAACATTGCTTATGTTATGTACTAGTTCTGGAGGCACCCAGTTAAATGGTTTGTCTGTAGGTCCTGTCTTTCCTCTCTTCCTCCTTTTCAATTTTATGATACCACCCCACGCCAATTAACATTTGTATGGGTCTTCAAGAAAGGTGTAGGCAATCCCTTTGAAGTTAAAATTTATAAAGAGAGGGTCTCCTCCTTTGTTCAAAGTTCATCTGAGTTTGAGTTCTGTTCCAATCATGATCTTCAAACTGCAAACAGATAATTGTAACTTGGCTTTGGATCCTATTAGGGTTGAAAGGGGCCCTTTTAGAGAGCATCTCATTATGTACTCAGCCATAAATCATTCCCCAGAGATGCAGCCATTGAAAAGAAGTGCTGCAGTTAAGTGAGTCATTCATACATTAAGGTATTAGTGATGGGAGCCATCTTTAATATGCTTCATAAATAATTTCCTATTAAGATGGCTATTTTCAGTGCAGAACATCAAACCACAGGTTCTGCCCATACTAATGCAGATTTCTTTCCTGGGATAGGTGCTCTGTTAGAGTGTTGCTTGACTGAGGCAATATGTGAAGGGGTGGACAAAGCTAAGGGAGTCTTAATGCAACATGACATGGTAATGGAGTCAATAAAGAATGAACCAACTACAGATGAGTGATGCTGGCAAAATAGGCCAGTGTTTCCAGGTCTTGCAAGGTCTGGATCTTCATGAAGATGTTGGGCAGAATCCTGAAACCTCCTTCCTCCCACAAAAACACCTTGCAAGACTCACAGAGGTTTTTTTTTCTTTTTTGTATGTCAGGGTTAGGAAAACTAAATGATGAAGCATGAGTAGGATGTATTAGACAAACTAGTCAGGACAGACTGTACACTATATAAAATTTGAGTATCCCTTATCCAAAATGCTTTGGGACCAGAAGTATTTTGGATTTGTTTCTAGATTTTGGAATATCTGTTTCTTCATATAGGTACATAATCTTGAGGATGGGATCCAAGTTTAAACACAAAATTCAATGATATGTTTTATACATCTTATACACATAATCTGAAAGTCATTTTATTTGTGCCCACTATTTTTAGAAATTTTGTGCATGAACCAAAGTTTATGTACACTGAACCATCAGAAAATAATGGTGTTGCTATTGCCGGCACCCATGTGTATGTTGCAAGGGATTAAAAATCCAGATAAGGGGTTCTCAAGCTGCCTATACAGTACTTAATGTATTTGCATTGCAACACTCAGCTACTGTGCTTTTGTGGAGAAGATTTAAATAGTGTGACAGTGTCCATAGCTTCTTACTCACAAGGAGCACATGAAGTAAGGATCCCCAGTACTCATGTCAAGGTCTAGTAATCTTTATGGAATTGACAGGCATTTCAGGCATCTCAGGGACAGGAACCCTGCCACATGGACTCCTTCCAGATGATTTATGTTTTTGAAAACTCAATGAACCATGCTCAGAGTTTATTCATTTGTTGCAAATGATCTTGACCTCTTCTGAGATCTGTTATAAAAATGCAGTTATTTGTAATATATTATTTTCATAATAACACTGGTATAATTAAATTACATTAGGACTGTAACATTAGGAATAACTTTACTCATTTTCCAATTAACCATAACAGTTCTCATTGCTTTTATAATTACAGGGCTGTGGACTTGCTGAAAGGCATACCAACTCACCCTAAGTCTCCCAATAGTGCTCTTTTGTCAGTGTTGAGACGGGGGATGTTTGCAAATAGACCAGTTTTGTAGATATCCTGACCTTGAGCTGGTTTTAAATTGGACTTTAATGCCTGTGTAGAAGGACACTCAGTAGTGAAAGAAAAGGAAGAGAGCACTGGAAAAGAGTTGAAATGGGGCTAAAATTGGACCATCACCTATTTATCTTCCAGTAGACAAAAGGATATCTCTAAGATATTACATTGTACATTGTACAGTGGAACAAAATGAAGACCTCCATCATCACAGCCTGTGAAGAAACTATTGGATATCAAACAAAGAAACATCAAGACTGGTTTGACGAAAATGACGAGATCCAACAGTTAATTGACAAGAAAGGGAAAGCCTTCCAAACATGGCAGAGAGACACCAACTGTGCTGCTAAGAGAGAGATCTACGCCAGTGCAAAAGCTGAGGTCCAAAGAAGGACAAGAGAACTCAAGAACAACTGGTGGACAAAGAAGGCTGAAGAAATCCAACACCTGGCAGATACCCATGATGGTCAGAGATTTTTCAAAGCCACAAAGGTCATCTATGGACCAAGAAACCATGGCATACAGCCTCTACGCTCATCAGATGGAACCAAACTCCTGAGGACCAAAACTCAATTGCACTACGTTGGAAAGAACACTACCAAAGCCTCCTGAACCGCAGCTCCAATGTGGCCAAAGAAGTTATCTCACAAATCCCGCAACAACAAACCAGGGATGAGCTTGCAGCATTGCCTAGTTTGGAAGAAGTTAGCAATGCCATCAGCCAACAAAAAAATAACAAAGCCAGCGGACCTGATGGGATCCCTGCTGAAATCTTTAAAGAGGGAGGACCTGAGCTGACACAACAACTCCACCAGCTCATAGAAAAAGTGTGGCTGACCGAGAAAATCCCAGAGGATTTCAAGGATGCCACCATCATCACCCTCTTCAAAAAAGGGGAAAGAGCAGACTGTGGAAACTATCGAGGTATCTCCCTTCTAACCTCCGCTGGGAAAATCCTCACAAGACTCCTTGGAAACCGCCTTCTACCCCTCTCAGAAGACACCCACCCAGAATACCAGAACGGCTTCCGGCCCTCCAGAGGAACAGTGGACATGATCTTCACTGCACGACAGCTCCAAGAAAAATGCAGAGAACAAAATCAACCTCTGTACATGGCATTCATTGACCTTGCAAAGGTATTTGACAGTGAATCGCAGCACTCTCTGGACCATCCTCCAAAAAATCGAGTACCCTGACAAATTTGTGAACATCCTGCGGCTCCTCCATGATGACAACAGTCTTGGACAGCTATGGCTCCCAAAGTGACCCATTTAAGGTGGAATCAGGCATCAAACAGGGATGTGTTATTGCCCCAACTTTATT